ATAAATTGCTTGTTGGTGCCATGACCCACTGCACACTTTATATTCATTCGCTCTGCTGACCCCTCTAATTGACATGACAGATTTACGACCCTGGTCTCGCATTTTGATTATAACAGTTTATTACATAGGTTGCTATAATAGGACATACAATCATAATATTATGCAGCATGACTTTCCTATTGATACGGTTAAATGCATTGTAAACATGAACCAACAGAACAGCATCGCATTCATTTCATCAAAAATCTCTTTCATGGCATGTACTGCAGCTTCACAACCTGCACTTTGACCAGCACATAACTGAAAATTTCCTGCACTGTCCATTATTTCAGAACGAAGTTGTCATTGTCACAGAAGCGCTTTGAAAACATTATTCTGGCCATTCGAGCTAAGGAATCACACAAGTTGTGCCCCTTTGTACCGAAAGCAGATGATGTCAGGATACGTCGCCATTCATCTGCATCCAAGCTCGATTGACCCGCTGCACCTTTTACATCTTTTGCAGACTTGTATATCTGAAAAGCATCAATACAATCAGATACATATTCAGCAATCGATAATTCCGGACCTTGTAACAAAAGATTCTCAAATTTCTCTTCACCATCTGGATGCTTTTTTCTAAGCAACTGTAGAGTTGGGCCATCCAGAAGCAAAATACCATTCCTTTGCGCATCAGACAAAAGCTTCAGAGCAGCATTTATCTTCCCGTTGATTATAAGACCATTAAATTTCTTTGCAACTTGCTCAATGTTGTCCGCTCCCCTGTGTTGGCTAAAATTTGATTGAATGAAGCGAGCTTCTCTGACAAGTTCATCAAAGTTTCCAATTTTCCATAAATCAAGCCTTTTTCTCAATTTCTCCACATGATCTTTGCTTTTCGATTTTTTGCTAGGTTTCTGAAGCAAAAGTGATGGCATAATCATCATTGCTTTTAATGCAATCAGATGTAACGGACCATCATCAACCCATTCATCTACTAGTCTACTGCATTCTTCAACAAATTCTTTGCCAACTTTACCTGATGGTAACATGAAAAGATTTCGTTTCCAGAAAACAACTTCTTCATAAATAGCATTTATTATTTGGCATGTATCACTTAACGATAGAAGACCCCACACAGCTAACTCTTCTGAAAGAACGGCGCTGGGGACTGCTTGCGTATCATTCGACTGAACCCACTCTTGATCGATCGAATTGACGGTTGAATTTCCAGTGGAGTTATTCTCCAAAACAGAAATGAAATTACCCTGAGAAATTAGCCAATTTAATGATAAATCACGGTTGAGATTACCAGTGGCGGCACCACGGGGAGGACTTGGGAGGACGCGTCCTCCCCATTCGTCGCCGAGACCGATTTTCTAAATATTCTAAATTCAAGGAGAAAATATGGGGGGGGGGGGTAAGGTCACACAATTTGTTAAGACCTTCTTTCAACATATGTCCTTATCAATCATGTATTGTTTGACCGTCCCCTTCCATGTTTTAATTAAGGGGGAAAAAGATGCCTCTGCAAAAAATACAATCTATCGCTATAACATGTTGTGATTTTAGTAGTCACCTTGTTCTCGTTTGATCATAGTCAATATAAAAATTGACAATCACACACATTCTTCTGACTATGATCTGACAGACAGATATATGTTGATTTTGGAAGAGAATTTCATTATGTGTTAGTTATGAGTATACCGTAATTAGATGTCGGCCTTCGTGACTGTCTTTTTCAAAGACCTGATGATGATAGAGTTGGTGCCAAATCATTATATCAATGACAAGCCTGCTAGTTAGATATACATACTGACCAAATTCTTCAGTTGTGAGATGAGTAGCGTGATGGCGGAAGGTAGAGATCCATCAAGAGAAATAATAAATGAGGCCAACAGAGCGCAAGTACTTGATTTGAGACCGGTGCAGCCCATTCGTAACTTTTAAACTTGCAAATCATGTATTGAATAATTCAGCTTCTGTCTCAGTGAGAGTAGGGGGCGTGGTCCAAAATCTTTTTCCCCCAGAAACCTAGATTCTTCAGGGGCAAAGCCCCTATCGGAAATCCTCCCCAATATTTTGCGGCTGTTGCCGCCATTGGAGATTAATCTCCTGAACTTTTTTTCGGCAACATCTCAAATGTTGATTCAAACTTCTCTTGTTCTTAAACACTCGGGAACATAAAGTACATGGAAAGCATTCTTCAACACGAAGTGCCGTAGTGGAACTACAGGATACCAAATCAGATCTTCCTACTGACCGTTTAACACTAGTTTGTCTCTGAATTCCGGCGATTTCTTCACAAACATTGTTATCAGTAGTAGATACGTCACTATAAATAGTTTGTTGAGACATAGTGATCTCGATATATTAAAACAATGAGGAAACATGAGTAAAAACGATCAAACCTTTGGTGATGAATGAAAACTTGAACATAATGAAAACAAAAAACGTCCAGTAAACCATAACCGCATGAATATATATTTCTCTTTAGACAAATTCTTGTATCAGGTATAAGCACCAAAGAATCTGGCATAAGATCACGTGGATAAGTAGCAATTTTGCACACATGAAAAAACACGTCCGTTCACTTGGTCTCGAACATATTCAAATTGAATCTATGTAGTTTATTGAAGTCAACAAAGAATTTTGTGAGAGAAGGGCAATATTTGTTGCTAACAAAGGCATTTAGGTTCAAGTGCATTAGGTTCAGGTTTAATTTATCTTTAATCCCACAACATACATTTCCACAAAATACTAAATAAAAATAAAACGATTTAAAATAACAAACAATCATTATAACAATAAGATGTAGAACACAAATTATGTTGGGAACGTGCACTCAACAGGTCATGGGCCCAGGCCAAACCACTGCGTAATAAAGTTTAATGTTCTGGATTTCCATTTATCTCGCGATAAAGGTATAAAGGAAACTTTGATCGAGCATGGCTGGAATTGGAGATAAATACGAAATCGAAAAATTAGATAGGTCGAACTGGCCTACATGTGTGGGATCACGTAAATGGAACGAATTCATTACCTGACGATAATATAATACAGCATCTAGAGCTACATACGAAAAGGCCAAGCAAAAGGCAATGGCGACGTTGGTAATGGGAATTCAGTCGAATCTTATCTACTTGGTGACATCATGCGAAACACCGAAGGACCTGTGGGATACTCTCAAAGCCTACTTCGAGAGGGATACGATAGCCAACAAGCTGTTTCTCAAGAGACAATATTTTACTTCAAAAATGCTTGAAGGGCAATCGGTCCAAGATCATTTGAAACGTATGAAGGAAATTGCTGATAAACTCCATGCACTCGGGTCTACAGTAGCTGAAGAAGAGCAAGTCGTGTCATTGCTCATAAGCCTTTCACCAAGCTATACAACACTCGTTACAGCTCTGGAAGCTAAATGAGATGAATTATCACTGGCTTTCGTCCAGCAAGCCCTTATCAATGAAGAGCAAAAAAACAGGCCTTCAAAGCAACTGCAACGACTAAAATGAATCGAGACTCAGCATTACCCTTGGAAAAGGGCATCAGCAGGCCGTTCAAAGGCAAATGTTACAACTGTGGCAAGGAGGGTCATAAAAGCTTTGAATGTCACAAAAGGAAGCAAGTGAGGCCCAGCAATTCATTTAAAAATGAAACACATAATGCAAATACTGCAGGAAAGGAGGAAGATGATGACTCAGACTCTCAACTCTCTCTAGCTGAAAATGAACAAACAGAAAATGAGACAAACAGACAATGGATTATGGATTCGGGTGCCTCGCAGCATATGACCTCAAACAAACTGCTTTTGATTAACTACAGAGAGTTCAACCAGCCTGAATTAGTCAAATTGGGTGACGGACATACAGTGGAAGCCCGTGGATCAGGACGAGCTCAAATAACCATGGAAACAAGCCACAACAAGCAGCTGACAATTGAAATGGATAATATATTCTATGTTCCGAAACTAGCTTGCAACCTGTTCAGTGTGCGAGCTGTGACACAGAAGGGACTCATTGTTCAGTTCGGACATACTTGTTGCTGGATAAAAGACTCGGACGGTAAGGCTGTAGGCAAAGGAAGACTCGTTAAGCGAATGTACGTTCTGAGCTGTGAAACAGATATAACAGCAGCTTATCACCAATCTGAAAGGATGGAAAATAGCAACCCTAGCACAATGGATGTTTGGCATCAACGGCTAGGACATATAAATAGAAAACAGCTATTGGAATCAGTCAAGAAGAAGCTCATCAAAGGAGTTGCCATCCAAGGAAATGACGAACTGAACTTTTGCACAGGGTGTGCGGAAAGTAAGATGAGCAGAAAACCTTTCAAGTCAACAGAGGGGATCAAGACTTCTAGAAAATTACAGATAGTTCACAGCGACGTATGTGGACCAATGTCAATACAGAGCTTTTCAGGAAAGCGTTATTTTGTCACATTCATTGATGACAACTCGAGATGTGTCAAAGTCTACTTCATTAGAAAGAAGTCTGAGGTACTAAAGAGGTTTAAAGAATTTGAAGCCTCTGCAACCAATGAAGCTGCATGTAAAATTGGAACCTTGCGTACAGATAATGGCGGAGAGTTTGTATCAAATGACTTTGAAAATCTTCTGAAAAGGAAAGGTATCAAACACGAAACTTCTGTTCCTCACTCTCCACAACAGAATGGAGTGGCTGAGCGCATGAACCGGACTCTCGTTGAATCCGCAAAAGCGATGATGAACCATGCCGGACTCAGCAAGACCTTCTGGGCAGAAGCAGTCAACACTGCAGCTTACATAAGGAATCGTGTTATAACCAGCGCATCAGGTCAAACACCGTATGAAAAATGGTATGGAAAACCCCCTGACGTCTCCCACTTTCGTGTGTTCGGCTGCATAGCTTATGCTCATATTCCAGGGGCTGAGCGAAGAAAGTTGGACAAGAAAGCCAACAGACTTCGATTCTTAGTTATAGTTATGGATCAAAACTGGAGTGGGTGACAAATTCGAAAAGTTTGATAATCGGGCTTTTTCCCTTGTAATCATCTTCTGTCAATCAAGTGCTTATTTCATCAACATTCGGCAAAAAATTAAGAAGGTGAATAACCTTGCAGGTTGCTTAGGCATTTACCACACATTAAATCTATATAGTTCTGACAATGCAGCTATAATGCAACAAATATATTGCAAATTGAATCTAGCACTACATAAAGTTATAAGATGAAAACCTGAACTATACTTAATTAAAGAAAAATGGCTTGTCAGCAATACGGCTGCAAGATTTTGAAATCTTAGAATAACGACACGAATCAGTTGAAATTAAAGTACTTTGCAAATCTTTATTGTTTTTGCATTCCACCAGGATATTGTGCAGTTTGATAAGGACCACTGGTCGAGTATGGCGGTGGCGCCGCCATATAGCCTTGACCATCTGGTGATGGCATATCTCCTGGGGCACCCTGTGGTGGTGGCATATATCCTGGGGCACCCTGTGGTGGTGGCATATATCCTGGGGCACCCTGTGGTGGTGGCATATATCCAGGGGCACCCTGCGGTGGGTACATATAGCCAGGGGCACCCTGCGGTGGTGGCATATATCCTGGGGCACCCTGTGGTGGTGGCATATATCCAGGGGCACCCTGCGGTGGGTACATATAGCCAGGGGCACCCTGCGGTGGTGGCATATATCCAGGGGCACCCTGCGGTGGGTACATATAGCCAGGGGCACCCTGCGGTGGTGGCATGTAACCTGCAGTAGTTGTAGGTGCTAGAGTAGTTGCCTGGGATGTTGCTACATTGTTAGAGACATTGGCAATTACAATGGGGGCGGCTTGTGCGGTCTGTCCTTGCTGTGCTACAATGATGGCTCCTCGATTGGCCCTGCAAGATGCTCTGCAACATCCATAGATGACTCCTATTATGATCGCAACAAAAACGATACTCCCGATTGATGCGCCAATAGCAGTGCCTGAGACTGAACTTCTTGAACTTGACCAACTCGACCACTTCGACCAACTTGACCAACTTGACCAACTTGACCAACTTGACGAGGATCCTGAATGAAATTGTGCACACAACATGTAAGTTATCAATGGTTTAAGAGAGGAAATTCAGAATTTTCACTTGCTGCATTATGTCAGAATGACATTATGAACAGAGCTTTTATACATTCTCGAAATGGCTCATTTGCCTCGCAGTTGGAAAGATTAAAAATGAAAATGACTCAGAAGATTGCTTGCAGCAATACAACCTGCGATTTCCAGCGTCTTCAATGCTAAAATGATTCTTTGACAATCATTGTCAGATTATTTGCATTTATCGCGTTGTTGTGATGATTCTATCTAGTTTCACAGAGCAAAATACCCTTAATTTTATGGTTTACATGAGATGAAGGCAGCATGATAGCTGTATTTGGAGTTTTTTACCAACCTAAGGGCGTCACATTAAATCTATTGAGAACTTTACAATAAAACGCCAAGATTATTTTTGCATTTTGATGTAACCCTAGAGGGCTTAAACGAGGATACAACAAAGAAATACGCCATTACAGTCCATGACATTCAGCAGCGAATGAAGATAGCTAAAAGAATTGAGGAATTTATGAAGAGACTGCCAATAACAATGAAAATGTCAAAATTTTTGACTAAAACGTCCTTTTGTGCTTTATTTATCTTTGATTTGACAGTTTAGAAAAGGTTATTAAAGAGAAATTTGTATCACCACCTGTAGATGATTAAGGCCACCCTCCTAGAATAAGACCCACCTCGAATGAGTCGTTATCAAAAATTGCCTAACCTAATAAGCCCCAAGGGGGGCAATTCGAGGGCTCCTGGTAAATAGGTTTGGACAAATGAAGGAAAAAGGGAAGGGGATATAATCCGTAGAAATAGCAATAACTGACTTCAAACTCTGTGACTTCGATTAGTTTATGTTTACTAGCAGTCAATAGTTTATGTTTACTAGCAGTTAATAGTTTATGTTTACTAGCAGTCAATAGTTTATGTTTACTAGCAGTTAATAGTTTATGTTTACTAGCAGTGAGCATTTGAAATTCAATGATACACTCACCATATTCGACGTAGCCAACAACCAAACCTCTTCTACTTGTCGAGCCGGTTGGTTTATTAAAGAACAAATACACGTAGTTGTAATCAGTGGTATACGATCGAGGAGACTGAGTTCCACACAGTTTGGTACTCACTGCCGTCGTTAAGATTGTGATGGAGCTTTTTTCGAAATGACGACTGTTTGAGCCTAAATTAAAAGAAATTTGAATTTGAAAGCAGCAGAAAACATGTCAGTTGTAGCCGCATTTGTTAAAATACGCAGTAGTAGCGCTAAGAGGGGGAGGGGGGCTACAGTCCCTCTGTGAGAGTTGGTTAGCCTCCCCCCTAGTCAGGAGGTAATTAAACAAACTTTTAAAATTTTTCGGAGCAAGATTTTGCTGTGCTAAGGCTCCAGTTTCAGCCTGGCGCTCCTCACTTCTTTTCGCATAAATTCAGCCTAATGTGTTTCTTAGTTGCTTTCTTATTTTTAATGCAATTTTCTGTGCATACTAGCGTCCGGGCATACATGTGGTTGATAAAGTAATTAATGCTATTTGCTTATCGCTTTTTGTTTTTCTGTTGCTATTCTTTCGTGTTACACATTATTCTTGTATTATATTTTGTGTTAAAAAGATACAAATCAAACGCCTTCACTGCCAATGAAAGTTTTTTCTGAAAAATATTTCAATTTAATGGCAACGAGAGGGCGGACAAGAGGGGGAGAGGGGGGGCAATAGCCTATGGACCTAAAAGCAGAGTAGTCTCTCTTTAAAGTATGACGCCAAAAAACATGGTAATTACAAATCGTATCTGTATTTCGAAAATTTGACGAATATAATTAAAGAGTAAATAAAAAGTGCGAGGCTCAAGCATTGTGCCGGTCACAGGGCCGAGCGTGGCTCTAAGTGGCCCTGGTTTCTTATTTAAAAGAGATGCTGTTTTTTTCAAGATTGGCCCATTGCTTTGTACGATGGTTTCAAATACCCAATAGATTCCTCGATTGTGACAGAACCACACCAAACACTTACACGAACAGAATTCTACCAATCAGTGAATTCATGCAAAAGCTATCCCCAGTCAAACCTCTTAAATAAATTGCAAATTTTCATTTATTACTGGCCTCTAGTCTGGGAGCCTTGAACTGCTCGATAGCTCTGAAGCAAGAAATGTCATAAAAACTGCATGTCAGTAACTGGTTTGATCGCAAAGAAACACGAAATAATCGTTCTTTCCTGGCCAATCAAAACTTCTCCAGTAATCCGCTCTTCAATCTAACCACCCAGTGTAGTCACACGATAATTCGAGCAAAGAGGGAGGAACAATTACAGAACTTCATTCAATCGCCGTAGCGAAAATAAAGAAATGTTCGCAGGTTTAACTACAAGTAACAGAATGCACTGGACGCTCACTGAAATACAGCCAAATAAGGGAAATGGTCTGTTGAAGTATAATGCGAATGTTGATGATATTTAAAGAGGAACGAGGTCAAACTGTTCAAATTATTATCCTTAGCTAGATAATAGTTCTGCGAAGTCTTTTTTGCTTAGAAAGGAGATTACTCAACATTGCTCGCGAGACAAAGCTTAGTCGATCTTTTAAACAACTTTTATTTTTTTTCACAAACATGATCATTTATTATATATACAATCTTCTTGATTTCTTTCAGTTTATGAATGCATTAATTTCTGCACTGAACGTATTTGTATGGATTATTTTCTGCTCAGTTTGGAATTCAAACGCGTTAATTCGAACAAGAGAGCTAGGTAATTTCTTGATAATGCCAGCTGAAAGCTCCTAGGGGCGAATATGAATGCTATGAAATATGGAAAGAATAGCGCGAATGCATACCTCTCACTTGGAAGTATGGCGAATATGGATAGCAGTCGGAAGATGAACCAAGGTCCAAGTCCATGACAGCAACTTTCAAGCTGTTGCTACCGACGTTATACCTCATGTAACAGTAATCTGGGCTTCCGGCAGAGTATCTCTTTGGCCAGCCAGCGGAAGAGAACACACCTGCCTGACCAGATGTGTAGCTGAAAAACAATTTGGTGTCATTCTACAGTCTCTACCACAATTATCTACAAAGAAGGTATTTCATAAACTAATGTTTTTTTATAATAGAACAGTGAAAGTCGATTTGAAAACACATGCAACAGAAATTAATAGAAAACAAATGGAAACAACAATTTAGGGCGAATGATGCTGACATGTTGCAATCTTTCTCCAGTCTACTGTAAATATATCTGCTATTACAGACACTTCCCATTGGCAATCTAAATTTCCCATTGGTTGGACAACACATAAGACAAACATATTGTTACGTATCCAATCTGGAACGTAAGGCTTATTCCTAATGTTTTCTCAATCCTAACTCTGAGAAGTTGACTGACAGGAATGGCATCTTTAAATGGCATACAACAAAACTTAGAGGTTTATGGTGAGTTCAGTGATTTGCACCGATAGACCAACGGCCCAACTCGCTGCCCATGATGTGTAAACGTAGACTGACTTGCTGTTGTCCATGGCATGTTACAACTTGGATTATGAATTCTCCCCCCGAGTTCGAAAAATTGATACCTGATGCGAAACCATAATACCATAATACAGGTCTAAGTGACTATCATAGTCTTGTTGCCACCACTACGAAAGCAACTGTTCCTAGGTTAAAACCGAAACAAATAAAGTATCGCAGCTACAAAAAGTTTGTCCAAGAGAATTTCTTGAGCGATGTAAAGCACGCCCAATTTGAATGCGACAAGACTAACCCGGATAAATCCTACGACCATCTGACAAACACTTTCCGGAATATAGTGGACAAACACGCTCTAAGGAGAAACAACGTTTCTAAGGGGAAACAATGCACCCTTTATGAACCCAGAGCTGAAAAAGCGATGTACACACGTGCTAGGCTTAAACGAACATTAAATAAACACCGTTCAAAGCAAAATGAAGTAGCTTTCAAGAAGCAGCGAAATCACTGTGTTGCTCTCCGTAAAAAGGCCATAAAGAATCACTTCAAGAGAGTTACAAGCAATGGCCTCATGTCCAATAAAGCATTCTTGGATCTGGTGAAACCTTTTCTCTCAAATAAGGGTGTTCTAGCTGGTACCGATATTTCCCTGATTAAAGATGACAAAATAGTCACTGATGACCATGATTTAGGTAAGATTTTTAATGATTACTACATAAATATTGTCGAATATACTTCTGGTAAGAAGCCTTCCAGTATCGCCAATGCGAATTCGATTGGCGATGATCGCGAAACTGTAAGGTTAATTCTTGACAAATACAAGGATCCTCCAAGTATTCTAGCTATAGTTCAAGACCCTGAGCAAACTTTTCAATCTTTTACTTCAATGAGGTTACTGCTAGTGAGGTATGGCTCCAACTGAAAATGCTCGATGGCATTAAGTCAACAGGTGTTGATCAAGTTCCACCGAAACTTGTTTCTCTCGCTAGCGATGATTTGACTGTGCCTGCCATCAATTGCAGCATTCGAAATTTCAAATTCCCCCAGAATGCAAAAACTGCTGCAGATTGCCCTTTAGACAAAGGTGAGCCCGCTCGTACAGTGGAGAGAAATTATCGTCCAGTCAGTATACTCAACACTTTTTCCAAAATCTTTGAGAAAATTCTAAAGGAACAGCTCAGTCCTTTCCTTGATAAGACTCTTTCAATTTTTATTGCAGCTTATAGAACAGCTTACAGTACACAGCATGTTTTGATTAAACTTGTAGAAGAGTGGAAATCTAAGCTTGACAACAATTTTATTTTAGGGTCCGTTTTGATGGACCTGTCAAAAGCTTTTGATTGTATCCCGCATGATTTGATTATAGCTAAACTTCATGCATATGGTTTTGAAGAAATTGTCCTGGTTCTTGTCTTTTCCTATCTTAAAAAACGGAAGCCGAGTGTCCAAATAAATAACGTCTACAGTTCCTTCCAAGAAATTGTATCAGGAGTCCCACAGGGATCCTTTCTGGGTCCCATTCTTTTCAATTTCTACATAAATGACCTTTTCCCTTTTATAAAGCAAGCAACCATGTACAATTATGCTGATGACAACACGCTTGTTTTCTTTTCCAAATCCTTGCCAGATCTCGTCAGGGTTTTGGAAAATAAACCAACAGCGCTTTGTCATGGCTCAAACGAAATGAAATGATTGCGAACCCGAACAAATTCCATGCACTTTTTGTTAAAAAGGACCAGACAAATACTTCTGGCATAAATCTTGACTTTCAAGGACATTCTATCAAATTTGAAGAGACTGTCAAACTCCTAGGTGTAACACTAGATTACAAACTGAACTTTGACCCACATATATCAGGCCTTTGTAAAAAAGCTGCGGCACAACTGAACGTTCTTAAGCGACTCGAGTCATTTATTGGTTTCGCTGAAAAAGAAGTTCTGGTTCAAAGTTTCGTATACTCGAATTTTAACTATTGTCCTTTAGTTTGGTATTTTTCATCTTCAAAATCACTTCAAAAAATTGAAAGGATACAGGAACGCGCGCTAAGATTTTTGTAAAATGATCATTAAAGTTCCTATGATGATCTTCTTACTAGGTCAAAAAAGTGTACAATGCAAGTTGCTCGTCAGAGAACCCTCTGTATCGAAATATTCAAGACGATTAGAAATTTGAATCCACCTTTTATGCATAGCATTTTTAGTTCAAGAACATTAAAACATCCTTCTCGGAATCCTAAAAACTTAAATCATTTTCGACCAAACCAAGTAACTTTCGGTTCCAAGAGCCTTAAAGCCATAGGACCTCAGATCTGGAACTGTCTGCCAAATGAACTAAAATTAGCTGACAATCTTAACAGCTTCAAACGTATAATAACATGATGGGATGGTCCTAGCTGTAAATGCAACGTTTGCAAATATAATGATATCGATATCCTGTAATATTTGTCCATTCATATCCATGTTGCTTCAAATATTTAGCTTATGTATCTACGTATTTATTTCCTTAGTTATATCCCCTTCATTTGTTATACAGTAGATTCGATTTAGATTAGTTGTATGTGTAAATATCCATATATATATATGTATAGCTAGAAAAAATATCGAATTAGAAAAAGGTTACAAACAAACAAAAACCGTTGAATCCCGATAGGCAACCTTATAGGCACGTCTGCTCTCAAAAGCATAATAAAAGGTTTATTATGCCTATGAGAACAGATGCTTGATAACTAAATTGGGTGCGAAACTTTGAGTAACACCTTTCAACTGTCCATTACATGAACAGCTCTGCCTATTTTAGGTCGAGTGGCAATAAGAGCAAACGCTCCCCCCCCCCACCTTTGAAAAAGCTCCCAACCCACTTTACTAGTTTTTATATTGAGACGCCTTGTAGGCGGCTTAATCGAATTACCACAGAACAAGACACATGACAGTTGTCAATGATAAATCAGATATTTTTTTTACAGATTTTGAAAAAAAGATCCCCCATTCTGGAATGGCCACAATTACAAGCCCCCTGGGATGAATC